TCAAAGAGCTTTCACAGGCTTTATCATAGAATCAGTGTGGGCTCCCTGGCTACCCCAGGGGCCTGCAGGTGCTCACTGCTATGCCTCCTGTTGGTGGGGCAGCTTGGAAGCCCACACCCTGTGGCATAAACCCTTTATCCACAGACCCCAGAACCTCCTCTTGAACAAGACTAGGGAAGCCCAACTGGTGTGCTGCAATCTGAAACCAAGAAGTCCAGAAAAGAGCAATTCAGGTCTTAGAACTATCTTGTATCACATTCATCCAAAATCCATTCAAATAACTATTTCCTGGCTGTCAATTAAGGGCCAGGCAAGATTTCAGTGGTGGGGAGGCTGCAGTTACCCCATCAAAGCCTTTGACACCAAAGAGTTTACATTCCAGTGGGAGAAGAGAAACAATAACAAAATAAACACACACATAGTGTGTGAGCTGATGTGGAGCAGCCATTGGCAGAGACAGTGATGGGAAGGAAAGTTCTAGAAGAAGCTTGGGACTTAGCTCCATACAGCAGTGTTTTCCAGCCTTTTTTAAATCTCATGGCACTCTTATTATGGTTAAACTTCCATGGCACACTTAAATTATGTTGATAAAAAAAATGTTTAGAAAAATATATGTACTATGCTTTGACTTCTTTTGAAAATAATTTAATGAATGATCTTTAAAAATTTTTGCTGCACACCTAAGATCCTCTTGCAGCACAGTGGTTGAAAATCACTACCATATAGCCATGTAACTTATTGGAAAGAATTTAGCTTTTACTTAGAGTTAGAGGGGGAGCCATGGGATGATTTGAATCAGAACAGTGACATTATCAAATTTCCATCTGAATAGAACACTTGGCTGCTGTGTTGAGAACAAATAGATGAGGGCCTGGACTGAAGCAGGGAGCTAGCTACTGTGACCATCCTGGTAAGGAGAAGAGTGATAATTTTATAGTTTTTTCACAGTGTTCTCTACTCAAAACCCATTCCTGCTCTAGGAAACAACTGATTTAGTTTTTTAATGACTGTTGATTAGTTTCACTGATGTTAGGACTTCATATAAATGGAGAATAATGGGGTCATGGAGAGGAGAGAGTGGAAGGAATACACGAGGGCAGGGTGTGGAAGGAGGTGGGTGCAGACCCACCAGGGAGAAGGGAGGCATCTCATTGTACCCTCTTTTGTTGGTTAGTGGAATGAGGGACATTTTGAGCTGTAACAATCTGCCAGTTGTGGTTAGGGTGTGTCATGAGCAGGGTCTGGAGGCTGTTAGACCATCAGGAATGAAACCTGCTGGATGCCCTATCTTCTTAGGTAGGACCTCCTCCAAGGGCCTGATTCCACAGCCACCACCTATGGGGTGGGTAGAGAGGACTCTTACCTTTGGGAGCTCCCATGGCCTTGCTTCTGTCTGAATGCTCTCCTTTCCCACAAGCCATTTTCTAATAAACTGAGGGGTATACCACTAATCTCGTTCAGTATGCTTCTTTTTACTCTATCAGTTCCCCTTTGTCTAAGGTGACCAGATGTCCTGCTTTTGGCAGGACAGTCCTGATTTTTAACAATTTGTCACGTGTCCCGTGGTGTTTTAAAAAAGTCCCGATTTTTAGAAAGGATGCATGACAAACTAGGGAACAGCAGGTGAATGGGAAGGAAATATACAATAAAAGGTTAATGTAACTCCATTTGGGAATGAAGAGGTTAATGTAACTTCATTTGGAAATGAAAAAGCTAATGTAAACTCCTTACTCCCCTCCTAGGCAAGGTCGCCCAGGTGGACCTGCCCCCTACTCCTTCAAGGCACAGGTGCCACCCTATACATAATTTTTTTTAATGTATTATATTTGTAAATTGTACTTATATTGAAATAAAAAAATATATATTACAATACTATTTTTGTGTTCTATGAAAATTTTTGTTGCTCCATATAGACCAAATTTTTAATTAAGAACACCCCCCCACCCCCCCACCCCCCGCAATGGTGTCCTGTTTTACCAATGTTAAAATCTGGTCACCTTACCTTTGTCCTCACCATGCAAAAGACCATAAACCCTACATAAAGCAGCCCAACGCCTGTCTCTACAATATTGACTTAAATTCCTCTCCCTTTGGAAAACTAAAACAAAAACAAACAAACAAACAAACAAAAAAAGAAATGCATTTTTTTCTTTTTTGAGACAGATTCTCAAGCTGTTGCCCTGGATAGAGTGCCATGGCATCACAGCTCACAGTGACCTCAAACTCTTGGGCTTAAGTGATTCTCTTGCCTCAGCCTCCCAAGTAGCTGGGACTACAGGCGTCCACCACAACACCTGGCTATTTTTGTTGTTGTTTTTGTTGCAGTTGTCATTGTTGCTTAGCAGGCCCGGCTGGGGTCAAACCTGCCACCCTAGGTGTATGTGGCCAGTGCCCTTGCTGATTGAGCTATGGGCACCATCCAAGAAATGCATTTTAAAAATATGTTAAATTCTCTCATAATTCTGTCACTAAATTGTTAGTATTTATAGTATGCATATATAATAATAATAACAATAATAATATAATTGTTAGTATTTATAGTATCACATAGGTGATCCAGAAAGTATCTAGCCATGTCATAAGAAAAGTATTAACAATGACTGGATACTTTCTGGATCACCCTGGCATATAACCTTCATACGGTTTTTTATGTAATTGGAATCATAGTTGACAAATATTTTGCATTTTTTATTCACTTCCAACAGAGATTTCACTTTAACCAGTAGGAAAAACACTTCAGTTTATCATGTTGCCAAGCAACTATTTATTTTAAAAGTCCGATCTAGTTTTGATTGCTTAAAGTGATTAACTTACTGGATAAAAAGACAATGAGCACAACATTTAACCTCTCAATAAACTGAAAAACAGTATGTTTAAAAATAACTGAGTAGTGGGGTGTGGTGGCAGTGCCTGTAGTCCCAGCTATTCAGGAAGCTGAGGCAAGAGAATTGTTCCAGCCCAAGAGTTGGAGGTTGCTGTGAGCTGTGATCATCACATGGCACCCTACCCAGGGAGACAGAGTGAAACTCTATCTTAAAAAAAAAAAAAATTGAGTAATCATTGTTAGTACTTTTAAGTCCTAAGTAAACAAACATCACTATTATTTTAAACTATTTATTTAGTATATTTAGGGTGACCAGATTCTAACATCTGTAAAGTGGGGCAACAAGGCGGGGGGTGGGGGGGCAGAGCGGGGCAGAGCCGGGGCGCGGGGCAGGGGACTGCACAAGGCAGGGCCTGACAACAAGGCAAACTTTGATAAGCAGTTCTGGATAATCACTTCTCAGCAATTATTTATTACAGTTTAACATTATAAAATTAACAAAAATAATATAAAACTCATATTCTGGTGAAATAGCCATATAGAGGCTGAAAACCGTATATTCCCTTCTTGTTCTCCAACCCCGTTCGTGCATTCTTTCTAAAAATCGGGACTTTTTTAAAACACCGCGGGACGCAGGACAAATTGTTGAAAAGTGGGACTGTCCCGCCAAAATCGGGACGTCTGGTCACCCTAAGTATATTCTATATAGAGATACCTCACCTACTTCCTAAGTATAAAAAAAAGATAAAATATAGGGCGGCACCTGTGGCTCAAAGGAGTAGGGTGCTGGCCCCATATGCCGGAGGAGGTGGTGGGTTTAAACTCAGCCCCTGCCACAAACTGCAAAAAAAAAAAAAAAAAAAAATGAATAAAATATCACCCCTGTCCTTGTTTCCTTTCTACCAAATCAGGATTTTCATAATGTACAAGCAACGTGTGCCACTCTGAACACAGGAGGGAAACTGTAGAGGGGCCCAAGGCAGCCACACACAAACCCTTTACCCTCCTCCTCCTCCTGCGAGACAAAGGCACAGAGGATCTGAGGATCTGGCTAGCCTGCCTCTCCCATATAAAAGAGGTCTTTAACTTTCCTGGGGCGGATGCCACCAAGCCCAAGCAGGTCACCCTCCCCTTTTCGTTAAACCTGGCCTGAACATCTCCACTGCACCCTCACCTCTGGCTAACATGTTTTACACCTATCAGAAACAAGGGTCAAGTCTTATAGAATCAGATTTGCAAGTAAATAATAGTTTTTCCAATAATCATTGGGCACTCTGGGCTGCCAGTATCCATTTCCGGTCCCATAAAGCCAGCATTTAAAAACGAGAAGCCTGCAATTTTCCTATAGAGAAAAATACTTAATACATTTCCAAGTGAAGGCAAACTAAAATGTGCCATTTAGCCTTCAGAGGGCTGCAGAGGCCATGACTTAAAAGAGTGAGCCATCGAGAAAAGCATTGAGCCATTATTCATGGCCCCTCCGCCACCTCCCCTCGCAGACGCAGTGCGCGTGGGGCCCGGCCACAGTGGCCTTGAAGCGCAGAGTAAGCAGAGGGTAGTGAGAGGTGCTGAGGGCCAGCTGGGACAAGGTCAGCGGGTTCTTTACCTCGGGGGAACTTGGGTTAAAATGAATGCCCTGAAGAAGAAACGTGGTGAGAGAAGGGACTCGCTCAGGCATGTGCGGGGAGGCAAAGGACAGACTTGGTTACAGTCGTGCTGATGTGGTGAGGTTGTTTTGGGTACAAAGAAAGTATAAATTGGTGGGAATAGAGGTGCATTCGGGATGACCTCATAGGCTGTTCCATCCCAGCCAGTGCAGAGCTGCAGTGGGTTAAATCAATGACTGTCCCTACAGGACGGATGCGGGCTCTGCACCCGTGCCATGATGCTCACAGGCAGTGACTTGGGGGACAGAAGGAGCCCCTGTAGTTGGTGCTAAAATGTACCTATGAGGCTGATATACAATGTGCAGGATGCAATGGTACATTTCAAAACTATTAAGAAATGAGTAGAATTGTGATGGGTGTGTTGCTTAGTTCAATGTAAACATTTCACATTGTATATGGAAGCGGTACCCTGAACCCCATAAATGCATCAATGTACAAAGTTATGATTTAATAAAAAATAATTAAAAAAAAGAAGAAGAAGAAGAAGAAGCAGGGTTCTGCCCACTCACCTTCTCCAGCGCGGCCTGGACCACTGATTCGCTCTCCGTATCCAGCGCCGACGTTGCCTCATCTAAAATCAAAATCTTGGGGTTTCGAACTAAAGCTCGGGCAATCGCGATTCTCTGTTTCTGCCCTCCACTCATTTGAGCTCCTTTTTCTCCTACCAATGTATTAAATTTCTATTGAAAATAGGGGAAAAAAGCACAGACACGGAAGGCAGCGTGATTAAATGGTTGGAATAGGAAATGATAATCATAGCTGTGCTTTAATACCAGCCTCAGCCTGGGTGCTTATAACTTTTGATTTGTTTTTGTAAAAACAAACAACTATGTAAAAAGAGCCTAGTGAAAAGGACAAGGACAATTTGGCTAGGACGAAAAGAAATTAGACCATGTGACAATCAAGGATTTTTGGAAATGTTAATAATTTCAACTAATTTTCAAATACTCTTTAGATGTCTTTAGAATGATTTGAAGTCTTTAAAAGAACAATTGTAATAAATATATGTAAATTTAAATATTGAAACACTTATTAGCATGCCATATTATCCACAATTTCTTTTCTAGATACTTACAAAAAACCATATTTAAAAAATTACTATGAAACAAACTTCCCCCTAAAACTTTTTTCAATATTGGGAGACTTTTGAGTCTCTTATACCTTTTTTTTTTTTTTTTTTTTGGTAAATGCATTTGTAACACAGTAGATATTGCTACATATTTGTGGTAGGGGTAACTTCTAGCACTAGTGAAACATTGCTAGGATTTCTTTTGAGTTATATCCCTCATTCAAAGTTCATTTCTTCAAGGATACACATTTAAATCTCTTTCTAAACCTTTAATTTCTAGAAACTGATCTTAACAGTTTTCAAAAAACATCCAACCCACTGAATAATTTATACACAATAAAATGCACCCATTTTAAGGATATATCTCTATAAATTTTGACAAATGAGTATGCTACCCCTGTAAAGGATTAGAAGTTTTCTGTAGGCCTCGGAGGCTTCCTCGTCTTATTTTTCAGTCAGAACCCACACTCTGACTCCAGATACCCTAGACTTGATTTTTACCTCTATAAATCAATGCTTGCTGGTTTTAGAACTTCATATAAAATGAAATTATGTAGAATGTATTTTGGGGGCGGGTGGTGCTGGCTTCTTTTACCTTGCACAGTGTTTTTCAAACTTTTTTAATCTCATGGTACACTTGAACTTACAGTTAAATTTCCATGGCACACTTAAATTATGTTGATCAAAGAAAGGTGAAAAAAGGAATATACTTACTGTGCTTTCAACCTCTTTTGAAAGTAATTTAATTAATGATCTTTAAAATTTTTGCTGCACTCCTAAGATCCCATCACTGCACACTGGTTGTAAATCACTGACCTAGCATAATGTTTCTGAGACTCATCTAAGTTGTATTGGTAATTCACCCCTATTTATTGCCCGGTAGTGTTCTACACAATGAGAGTCTATCTTGGATTGCCAGATATAGCAAAAACAAACATAGAATTCAGAAAAACAATGTGTTTTTTAGTATAAGTATGTTTCATTAACTATTTGGGGCATACTTATGCTAAATGTTTTTTTCATTATCTGGCCTAAATCCATCACAAATTGCTTATCCAATCAGCTGCTGATGAATATTTAGATTGTTTCCAATTTTTGACTATTATAATTAAACCTGCTTTGAGTGTTCATGTGCAAAATATTTTTATGGTCATGTTTTCATTCCTTTTGGATAAATACCTAGGAAAACAATGCTGAGTCATAAATTTATGATGAACATTATAATAGGCTGTCAAATTGCTTTTTAAAATGCTTGTACAAATTGCACTTTTGAGAGGTCTAGTTGTTTACATCATGACCAAAAGCTAAATTTGTTAATCTGTTTAATTTTGGCCATGCTAAGAGTGAAATAGTATCTTATTGTGGTTTTACTTTGGATTTCCCTGACGACTAATAAATAAGGTTGACTGTTTCTCATGTGTGTATTGTTCATTCAATTATTCTTCTGTGAAATGTCTGTTCATGATTTTGTCCATTTTTGGGGTCTCATTACTGAATTACAACTGCACTTTATACATTCCAGATTCATGTCCTATCAGATATATGTATTATATTTTCTTATGCTCTGTATACTTTGTTTTCTAAATGGTGTCTTTTAAGAAAGAAGGTTTTAATTTTGACAAACTCCAGCTTATCATGTTTTTTAATAATAATGCTTTTCAGTCTAAGAAATATTTGCCTACCTCAAAGTCGCAAAAATTTTCTTTTAAGTTTTTTCTCCCATTTATTTATTTACTATTTAAATAGAATTAGAGGTACAAATGGTTTTTGGTAGGTGGGTGAATTGCACAGTGGAGAAGTCCACACTTTCAATATACCCTTCGCCTGCACAGTGTATAATGTGCCCAGCAGGTAATCTTTTATCTTGCACCTTCTAAGTCTTCAATGTCCAGTAAGTCATGCTGTATGGCCACAAGTACCCACAGCTTCTAAGTGAGGGTATACATATATATTCTTAAATTTATTTTTTAGATTATTGGCACATAATAGTTGTGTATCTTTATAGAGTACCTGTGATACTTTGATATAAGCATACAATGTGAATTATTCAAATCAGGATAACTGGAGTATCCCTTACTTCAGGCATTTAACATTTCTTTGTCTTAGGAATACTCTAATTTCAGTCTTTTTGTTGTTTTAAAGCATACCATGACTTATTGTTGATTGTAGTCACTTTGCTGTGTTATCAAATGTTGTTCATTCTATCTAACTATCCAACTATATTTTTGCACCCACTTTACTCCCTGCCCCCACCTCTCTTCTCAGCCTCTGGTAACCATTGTCCTACTCTGTCTCCATGAGATCAATTGTTTTTCTTTTTCTTTTGAGACAGAGTCTCACTTTGTTGCCCAACTGTTGTGCAGTTCAAAAGAGTTTAACAGAGTAAATTGCACACGATCTTTATGGACACCCTTATTTCAGTGTATGTAAGTACAATTTCTTTATACACTCGCTCATTGATGGCCACTTACCTTGATTCCGAATTTTGGCTGCTGTGAATATTGCTTCAGTAAACAAGGGAGTGTAGATATCTTTTTGATATTCTGAATTCCCCTCCATTGGTTATGTACCCAGTAGTGGGATTTCAGGGTCAAAAGATCGTTCTATTTTAATTTCTTTCTTTTTTTTTTTGAGACAGAGCCTCAAGCTGTCCTCCCTGGGTAGAGTACTGTGGCATCACAGCTCACAGCAACCTCCAACTCCTTGGCTCAAGCGAGTCTCCTGCCTCAGCCTCCCAAGTTGCTCAGCCTCCCAAGTAGCTGGGACCACAGGCACCCACCACAGTGCCGGCTATTTTTTTTTTTTGGTTATAGCCATCATTGTTGTTTGGTGGGCCCAGGCTGGATTCGAACCCGCCACCTTAGGTGTATGTGGCTGGTGCCTTAGCCACTTGAGCCACAGGCGCCGAGCCTATTTTAATTTCTTGATAAAACTCTATACTGTTCTCCGTAGAGGTTGTACTAATGTACATTCCCACAAAGAGTATCTGAGGTTCCTTTTCTCCACATCCTTGCCAGAATTCATTATTGCTTGCCTTTTGCATAGAAGCCATTTTAATTGGGCTAAGATGATATCTCATCATAGTTTTGATTTGCATTTCTCTAATGACTCATGATGTTGAACATTTTTTCTATACCTGTTGAATTTTATATATCTTCTTTTGAGAAATGTTTATTCAGATCCTTTGCCCAGTTTTAATCATGGCATTTTATTTTTTTCCTCTTGGGTTGTTGGAGCTCCTTATATATTCTAGTTATTAATCCCTTGTCAGATGGGTAGTTTGGTAGGTATTTTCTCCAGTCCTGTCACTTGTCTTTTTACTTTGTTGATTATTTCTTTTGCTGTGCAGATTTTCAGCTTGATGTGATCCCATTTATACAATTTTGCTTTGGTTGACTGAGCTCTGAGTGTGTTACTCAATAAATCCTTGCCCAGACAAACGTCCTGAAGCATTTTCCCGATGTTTTCTTTTACTAGTTTCATAGTTTCGAGCCTTAGAGTTAAGTCTTTAATCCATTTTTATTTGATTTTTGTATATGGCGAGAGATAAGGGTCCAGTTTCATTTTTCAGCACATGGATATCCAGGTTTTTCCAGGACCATTTATTGAAGAGACAGTCCGTTCCCATTGTATGTTCTTGGCTCCACTGTCAAACATAAGTTCACTATAGATGTGTGGGTTTATTTCTAGGTTCTCTATTCTGTTTCATTGGTCTACATATCTGTTTTTATGCCAGTACCATGCTTGGTTATTACAGCTCTGCAGTGTAACTTGAAGTCAGGGAATGTGATTCCTCTGGTTCTGTTTTTTGTTCAAGGTGGCTTAGGCTATTCTGGGAATTTTTCAGTTACATATAATTTTAGGATTTCTTTTCTATCTCTATGAAGAATGCCATTGGTATTTTGATGGAGATTTCATTGAACATATAGATTGCTTTGGGTAGTATGGACATTTTAACACTATTAATTCGCCCAACTTTTTGTTGACTCTATCCATGTCTTTCTATACTATCTAGCTCTCAAAAAGTCATTGTAGTAATCCTGGATAGGTTTGTCTTTTAGTCATCCTGCTCAATATATAAATGTTTTATACACTGCAGTAATAGCAGGAGGGTATTTACGTATTTGTGCACTTACTGTTGCAGTGAGTTGTGTCCCTTCAGATGATTTCTTATCATTTATTTCAGATTGAAGAACTTTTAGCATTTCTTGTAGGACAGATCTGGTGTTGATGAAATCCCTCTGCTTTTGTCTGGGAAAGTCTTTCCTTCTCCTTTATGTTTGAAGGATGTTTTTATAGGATATAATATTCTAGGGTTAAGCCCTTTTCTCTTTGTCATTTTGAATGACATACCACTCTCTCCCAGATATAAGGTTTCCACTGAGAAGCCTGCTGTCAGATGTTTTGAAGCTCCTTAAACATTATTTTTTTCTTCTTTTAGGCCCTTTTTAAAATCTCTGACCTTTAGGACCTTAATCATTCCATGCGTTGAGGTTGCCTTGTCTGGGTTAAATCTTGGTGTTCTTTGATCTTCTTGTATCTGAATAGTGATGGCTTTCTCTAGGTTTGGAAACAACTGTGTCATTATTTCTTGGATAAACTTTCCACCCC